CGCAGCAAGCTCTGTGGCGTCCCGCAGCACCTCCTGCAGCAGCACCCGGTGCTGACGGTCCAGGGCCTCCCTCTGCTCCTGTGCCAGGTGCTGCTGGTCCCGAAGTGCCTGTGGGAACACCTGCGGATGCCCAGCATGGCCCTGACAGACCCGGAGGTGCGTGTCCAGCCCTCCTTGCCCACCTGTCTGTGGCTCTGCAGCAAGGCCTCCAGCTCCCACTCAGCCGCATCCCGCTCCCTCTCTGCTGCTTCCAGTCTCAAGCCCATCGAGGCCACCTCATGCTGCCAGCGAGCTGCATCCCACTGGGAGGTGAGCGGAGGGGCAGGGATGAGGACAGGGCAGCTCCGGGGTGACTGTGCTCCCTGGGGCTGCCCTGCTCTGGGAGAGCAGCACCAGGGAAGGAGGAGAGCCTGGAGCCCGCAGGTACAGCCCTCTACCTGCACCCACCTGCCTGCTTGCCTCCTGGCCTGGTGCTGCCCCATCCCCGAGCTCTCGCTGGAGGAGCAGGCAGTGCTGAGCCCGCAGCCGCTGCCTGTGTGCCTTGGCCAGGGCGTGCTGCACCTCCAGGGATGGGCAGGGCTGGCACCTGGGCTGGCAAAGAGCAGAGCAGGCTGGGACAATGTCCAACGGACACAGTGCTTCTAGTGCGAGGGGGCTGCTCCTGCCCCAGAGCAGCAGGCAGGGACCTGGTGTGCTCATACTCACTGTGTCACCTCCGGTCAGTGGCACTTCGCTCCACGAGGGCTCTTCCAGCAGACCCTTCCCTGTGCTTGCCGGGGCTTGGCTGTTCCCTCCCTGCCTGGCACCTGCTCCTGGGTGGGGAGAGGGAAGGAGAACGAGCATGACGTGGCTGAGGAAAGCAGTTTAAATGAAAGACTGAAGCCTCTTCTAGCCCGAGTGAAACCTTTTCCCACCGTGTAAAGCGATGCTCCGTGCCCACACGTCAGCCACCCAGGAGCAGGGCGCAGGCCTGTCCCCACGCTCCAGACCCACTGGTTCCAGGCTCGAGGGCATTCGGGTCCGGGGCTGCTGGCCTGGTGCTGTGTTCCCAGCAGAGACCCAATCCTGCAGGAGCTGCAAGAGATGTTATGAGGAAGCAACAAGGATTCAGGGCTTGTCCTGTGCCTGGGGTGTTCCCGGATGAGGGGCCTGTGGCCTGAGCTGTGCCCACCTTAACACTGGGCTGATGCATCTGGCTTGTCCTGAACACCTCAGCTGCTGCCTGCTTCTTCTCCCACCTTTGGCTCTTCAGCACCTGGAAAAAGGTGGAGGGTCCTCACTGGGGTGCTGGAGACCTCCAGGCATGACACATCTCCAAGGACACATCCCACCCCCACCATCTCACCCCCTGGCAGGCAGCCCCAAGCTCCTGCCCTCAGTGCCAGACAAGGGTCTCGACACTAGGGTGGGAGCCCAGATCTCATCCGACCTGAGGATTTCAGCACTACCCTGGGCTCATCTGGTGGCCAGAGGTGTTCTCCCACCTGCAGCTCCCGCAGGGCTCTCCGCAGCTGGGCCACAGCCATCTTCTGCTCAGGGAGGCCAGCTCCAGCCAGGAGCTCCGTCCGCAGCCCCCGGATCTCCCTCCGACGTGCTGCCACCTCTTCCACAGGGTCCCAGAGCGTGGCTGAGATGGTCTTGGCCAGCCCC